CAGGTCCAAGTTTATGAAACCCTTGGAAAAAGAGGTATGAATCGAAATATAGCTGCGACACCAAAACTAGGGCGCAAAAAAAATCCAACCAGACTGACCTAGTGGATAATCAGGAAATACAGAAACGAAAAACAGCAAAACAGCAATTGGACCAGAGAATGCGATTGCGTTATAAGGTCGCAATTGAACAGATCGCGCAAGTTCAAATTGACGTAACATAAAACCTATTAGTCCGAAAGCGCCGTGGAGAGCAACAAATGTCCACAGACCACCTAATTGACACCAACGAGTAAAATCTCCTTGTGCTTCAGGACCCCATAGTAACAACAAAGAATGTGCTAAACTATTAGCAGGGGTAGAAACTGCGGCGGTTAAGAAATTGCAGCCTTCCAAATAGGAGCTGGCCAATCCATGAGTATACCACGAAGTTACAAAGGTTGTACCTGTAAACCAACCCCCTAGAGCGAAATAGGCACAAGGAAAGAGCAATAGGCCGGACCAACCTACAAAAACGAAACGGTCCCTACGTAACCAGTCATCCATAATATCAAATAAATCATTTTCATCTTTGGTAAATTTACCAAGGGCTATAGTCATAGCAATCCTCCTATTCAACTACTTCAACCATTTTTTTTTTGAAAGGAGTATGTATTTTCAACTTTACTACCTTTATTTTACTCTAAGGATAAGACTCACATATAGAAATTTAAAATTTTGTATCTATAAAGAAGTATTCATTTCCTATTAGATTTAAACTACTTATCTGTGGGCTGTTGAATTTAAAAAAATTTTAATAACTTGCTACTTGTAAAACTAGGACTAACTATTATTCATGTATGACTCTTCAATTAGATAGATGAATTTTTTGAAAGAATTGTTTAAGAAACAAGTGATCTCCTTCTCGTTACTAGCTGATCCTCAAACTTACTTCTCTCGTTCTATCAAACTAATCTTATTGTTGGATCTTGTTCATGAGATTTCTAAAAATCAATATTTTTTACGTATTCTTCTAATTTCTATGTGCATTAACCTGCTACAGTATCTTATTATTATTATTATTATTATTATTATTAAACACTATTATAAATCATCCAACCCCAATAAAAATTTTAATTATTCTTTTAATAAAAAAACCAGAATATTGTCCGCGGGTCAAAGCAAGAAGACAACTTCCAATATTTTTTCTACTTTACTTTTATATTTTTATATCTGTCAGAAAAAGAAGAAAGAGAATGATTTCCTATTATTAAATCTTTCCTATTATTAAATTCAATATACAATATTAAATAAATAGAAAAACTTAAATGAAAGTATTTTTTTCTCACTCCTTATTCTACTTCTACATTATATTTGTCGGAAAAAAATATTGTATGTGAAAATATTCTGTAATGAAGCCATGAAGCCATGAATCTAATAGATAATATCAATCTTATTATATATACTATATAATCTATAAACTCTTATATAGGTATAATAATATCAATACAAATTGATCTGATCAAAAAAAAAGATATTTAAGAGGTTCTTCTATGTCTTATGTATATGACTTCTTTTTCTATGGAGGAAGGGAAAATAGTGATTTATTCCTATAAGAATAACTAGAGTAAGAAGATTTAATCAGAAATATTGACAGATTTTTTCGGAGTTCAAAGAAAAGAAATAGGAAAATATCAAAATAAAGAAAAAGCGAGCTCTGTTTCAATTTCATCTATATCGATTTTAATATCAGAATAGTTAGATATAGTCATGATTGCAATAGGTTAGGTCCACTTACTTTTTTATCTTGATTTTCTAAATCTACTAATCTTCTAATTTGAATTTGATTAGAATATGGAAAATAAGAAATGGGGCGAATTTAAAAAGTCAATTTATCATTATTTCAGTATAATAACAAATATAATAAACAAATCAAAACTTTCTAACTATAAACTATATTTAATATAGTTAATTAATATTTTAATAACTATCAACTATCAAAAATATACTATTCTATAATTACTATTAATTATAAAAAATTACTAATAGTATGGTAGTAGTAATAATAGTATAAAAAAATCCCAAAAAATTTAACTAGTATTAATTCAATTAAATTAATATTCATTTCATTTTAATAAAGGTATTAATGTAGTATAAATCCTTAGAAGCAATTTTTTAACAATTTCTAATTTTCATTTTGATTATTATTTTAGAATTAATTATAGAGTTTTTCTTACTTTTTTAGTACAAATATCAAAAAAATTTCTATTCCCTCTTCAACTTCAAACAAGGACATACTACTATAGGAACACTACCTGGGTTTTATGAAAAAAGGAAAAAGGACAAAGCCCCTTAATCGGATTTTTGACCGATGACTTACGCTTACATGGCGTTACTCTACCACTAGTTAAAAGGGCCCATTTGATTCATTTCTGCATGAGGCACTTTGCGGATAAGATAGATCTATGGAAATAGATTCGAATCAAATCTATATAACAAACCTATCTATATAATAGAATAAAATAAATATAATAGAATATAAGAATACTAGAATATAGAATTCTATATTCTAATATTCTATATTCAATAGAATGAATAATGTTTCTTAAATTAGATTAGAATATAATTTTTTATAAATATATTATAAACATAATATATTATAAACTAATAAAATAAATATATTTAAATAAATATATTATAAATAGTATCAATATATATAAATAATATATTATAAATAAGATATTATATAAATTATACCTAAGGTACATAGGGAGTAGACTCATAGTAGTTCATTCCTAAGCAAGAAGATTTTGAATTTACCCAGTGAGTATAAGTTAAACAGTGAACTATAGTAAAAAGCGGTTTATTGATATGAATTCGTTTTGAATTGATACATGTATTTAGCAATTCAACAAAGACTCTAATTTGTCCCTGAACCAAATGCGAATTTCTAAAAAAAATGGGATAAACTTGTTGCATAACTTGTTGAGGCCTATCCTCTTCTCGGATTCCAGATTTATCATTTGTTATTTGTTAAAATTACCTGGTTTTAGTGTGGAGAGAAAGATATGCCTATTTATCTTAACAATGAAGTGAATTAATGAACCACGAAAGCAGAAAGAAATGAAGTTTAACCCTAACCTATTTTCTGGCCTTTTCGGGGATCATCATTTCCTGGAAACGAAATCTTTTGTATTATTTCTATTTTTTTTTCTAATTTCGAATATAAATTCTAATTATATATATTTCTAATTATACTATATTAAAAATGAATTATAATTCTAATATACATAATATTAATATAGAATTAGAATTTATATATTTATTTTTATAAATAATTTATATAATTTATTTTTTATAAATTTAGATGGATTTTTTTTTTATTTTTATTTTAATAGGCGATTAGAATGAATGTTTTAATGAATATAAAGAATCAACAATTCTATGGAAATCATCGAAAGACGGAAAGATTCTTCGAATCTAGTCATACCATTTCGTGATATTGACAATTTCAAAAAACTCCTCATACATGAGCATAGTTATGCTGGCGGTCGGGCAAATGTGCCCCCATCGTCTAGTGGTTCAGCGACATCATCTCTTTCCAAGGAGGCCAAGCGGGATTCGACTTCCCCTGGGGTAGGGTATTACGAAAGGAAGTTATCAATGGATTATTAATAAGTCTGGAATTGATTCTCCTGGTCGATGGCCCGAGCGGTTAAGGGACGAACTGTTAAATTCGTTGGCAAATGTTCTACGCTGGTTCAAATCCAGCTCGGCCCAATAATCACTGATCCGCCAATGAAATGATATAACCCCCTTGTTCTCTCGAATACCTGATCACAGAACAAAAATAGAAATTTTCTTGAATATATTCTACCTGTTTCTTTATTTGATTGGTTTTCTTTTTTTTTCTCACAAATTCTGATCTTGCTATGATCTAGATTCAGATCAGGATTTGTAAGTATAAGTTTAAGACAAAAGAGTAATGTAAAGAAAAAAGGAGTCTTTGGACAGATTTTTTTATTATCACTCGACCTTTGATTTGAATAACGCAAAAGATGACTAGGCAATCCCTGTCCCTTTTATCACTAAAAGTGGATATCCATGTGGATAATCAAATATACCACTCCCGTTTCTGTTCCAATGTGGTGATTCCAAATCTAAAATCTAAATACGAAAAATAGAAAATGGGTTCGAATAAAATCAAAGAATAATTATGCTGTACACTTTATTGGCATTTCCCCCGGGATTGGTAGTTCAATTTGGTCAGAGCACCGCCCTGTCAAGGCGGAAGCTGCGGGTTTCCGAGCCCCGTCAGTCCCGATGGGAATCAAGAATCCAATAATCTAATTAATAAAAAAAAAAAAATACATCCATGCATCTCTCACTTTTCTGCAAAATGCAAAGGGGGACAATTTCATTCTCAAGGGAATCCTTCTTATTTTTGATTCTTTTATTTATTCCTTAATTCTTTATTCTTAAATTAATATTTATTCTTATTTATTTCTATTTATAGTTTTCGTTTTTCATTAAAATCTCATTCTCATTAAAGTAACATAGAAATATAAATATAGGAATTTTCATTTTTCAACTGTAACTGATTGATGGAGCCATATGTGGAATTAGTACAATTATGGGTAGTGTCATATTTAAGATTCCAAAAGAATACTCTATTGAGTTTGATTTTTTCGATTTCTCCTGACCGTATAAATAATAAAACCGAATCGAGTACCCATATCTTTCCGGTAGTCCATACACAAATGGAATTTTGTATTTGGAACCGTACAAAAAATTGAATTTTTTTGGATAGAATCCTTTTAATTTTAATAAATAATAAAATAAATTAAATAATAAAATAATAAATTTAAATAAAACTCAAAACTAAAAAAAAAAAAGAAAATAGAATAAAATAATATTATATAATATTATATATAGGATTTATTTTGAGTAACTCAATGAGAGAGTAATATTATAAAAGAAATATTTTATTTAATAAATAGAAAATAGAAAAATTTAGTTAGTGATAATAGGAGAAAATTTCATTAACACATAGGAGATTAACGTATATGAAATAGTTTTTATAAAAATATTTTATATTAATAAAATAAAAGATCAAATTTAAAAATAAGGATCCATCCTACTCCATTATAGAAGGCACGAGGCGATAATTTTTTTTTTTTAGAGATTTTGCTGAAGAAAAAAACAAACCCTAAACAAAAAAAATGGAATAGAATATTCGATTTTTTATACAATCATATTTACTATATTGGGACTTGTCCTTTATCCACATTTTTTGTGTTTTCCAATAAGATTAGATATTAACAAAAGAGTTTTAATGGATGAACTTAACTCCCCTTTCTTCTGTTTCGTTTCTATTGTTTGTTTTGGATTTTGGTTGTTAACCAATGTAAGTGTAAAGGTGGTTATAATGATCTTCGTCAGATGATTGGATACAAGAAGGCGAGAATTTTCTATAGAAAAGAAGAAATATGATAAATAATAAAATAAAGTAAAGAAATTATCAATTGAATCAGAGAACTCATTCAAAAAATGAGAATATTCGGTATGGTTAGTGACATAACTCGCGAGTCTATGTGAGTATATAACTATTCAATTCTCGGACCGATGAATCGATTTGATAGCTCAGATATTGTTATTCATATATTGATCAGAGAGGATATCATCGAGGATGGAATTCAATAAGCCTAGTTAGTGGAATTTAGGAGGCGAAAGACCTTATTATCCCTATGGGATTAAATCCGCAGTTATTGCAAAAGAAAAAAAAAAAAAGAAACGATGAATTATGGAAAGTAAAATATTCCTTGCATTTATTGCTACTGCACTGTTCATTCTAGTTCCTACCGCTTTTTTAACTTATAATATCGTAAACAACAGTTAGTCCAAGGCGATTAATTTGAATGAAAACTTGACTTCTTATCAAAATATTAATGATTGAAAAAAATAAAATCAAAAAAAGAATTTCCCTATTTTGCGTCTTAGATGAAATTGAGCGGACTAGAATTAAAGCAGTATTCCTATGAGATCTGATAAGTAATGATAGAAAGAAATAGAAATATATTCTTTCTATCATACTATCTATTTTTTGTTTTTCCTAGTGTATAAAGTTGGTACTGTATAAGAATTATAGGCCTTAATATAGAGATAGATTAATCTATAATATCCCCTCTCGATATTCAATACTATCTAGATATCATATATTCTATATGTAATGTACGAACGTCCCAATTCCTATTTCCCTTCTTATTCTGACTTTGTGTTGATTCCAAATTAATCTGAAATAGTCGAAAGGCAACCTCTTACTTTTACGAGTCTAATATTCCTAGATTTCGATTATTTTCAATATGAATCCTGGCGTTTACCCGAAAGAATAAAATCAATTGAAAACGGGAAAAATAAAATGAACAATATATTAAATTTTAAATTAATAAAGAAATCAAGAAATCTTTTTTTACGCAATTTTCGAAGAAGTTATTGATTGAATAGTTGGCAGATTGTCCAAGGAAGGGAGTTCTATAAAAATTTTTTAAAAAGATTTTCAACGAAAGGATCAGGTAAACCCTGCCGATTTTTTTAAACTTTTAATCATGATATGAAAATGCAGTCAAGTCAATAAGGTATAAGCATAAATCCAATCTTTAAAATAATAAACAAATAACTAAACCAAGCACTAAGCAAGAAAATCTCCTTAGTATACGTAGTATCCCATTGGAGAACCACTAATGTCTAATGTCTATCTTATTTTCCCATAGAAAATTCACTTTAATTAATCACTTTTCATTTTTAATAAAAGAGCTTGCTTTTAAAAGAGCTACTTTCTTAAATATCTTTAATAAAAGAACGGCTTTCTTTTCTCTTTGAACAGGAAAGAAGGTAAACAAAAAAAAGAATAAAAGATTGGAAAAAATTTCCTATCATTTGTATTCCTTTTACTTTCGAAATTAACAAGAGAATTCGTTGAAATTTTTTTTTTGATTATGATTAAAAGGGTTATTATTCATATCATCTAAATTATTTATATTAATTATTTATAGAAACATTACTTCACTAAAATCCCAATAGAATTTGGAACATGAAGATAATATTTTGAATTCAATTTCTAAATTTGTATTTGTAAAGAATTTAGAAATTGAATTAAATAATTAAATAATTGAATTGAATTCAATTTAAACAGTTAAATTTAAAAATCTTGCAGATGATCTAACGTAAAACAATCGATACAGTTTGATTTCTCATACTCAATTAGTAGTACCCCTAGAGTCCACTTCTTCCCCATACTACGAGTGAAAGGGAAATGTAAAGACTACCATTAAAGCAGCCCAAGCGAGACTTAACTATATCCATGTGAATATGTCCTCTATCTCTATGAATATGAAGGAAAATTTTTCCAATTATTGTTCACACTAATAATAGTAAGAATTGCCTGGGCGAGTCAAAAAAAAAAAGTATTCTATTCAATATATTGATGAAAACAATCCAAAAAATCCAATTATTTAAGAAGTTCTTATATGAATTGCCTGAAAACTTTTAGTATTAAAAAAACAGGCAGCAACGCCTTGGAAGTATCAATAAAATGTTTCTAAAATGTAAAGAAAAAAAAAAGAGTTATGTTTTCGGTTTGTTGCTCTTTATTTAACGTCAAAAAATATACAAATGGATCACTACTATTATAAATAGAACTCTTCCCTTTGTTTTTCTATACCCTTATTCTTTCCATTGAATCTAATTCGCCAAATTGTTTTACAGAACAATAGGAAAGACAGCCTATTCCATTCTTGATTAGGAAGTTACCTAAAAAAAAAACAAAGAATTTTCTTTTAGTACTTTCTATATATCTTGTATATTGATATACATTTGGTGCTTTCTATAAAAATAAAAGTAAAATAAAAAAATGGATATGTTAAGTTAAAAGCCCATTATCCCATTCAATCACTTATTCGATTGATTGAATTCCTGAGTACTCAGGAATTCTCATGAGTTTGTATACAAAAAACCTTTCAACCCTTTCAAGAATACTAATTAGATTTCCTGCGGGGCCGAGTATCCAATCTAATTCAAGACTCAGTCAGTAGACACTGCATTAGTCGTGGAAGGACTATTATATCCAAATTTACCGATTCCTTTCACACTATATAACTTTTCCTTGAAATCCTAGATTCAAGAATTTACAGCACTTTTAGAAGAACAGAAATTTCAGATATTTATAATCAAAAAAGTATCAGGATGCCTTTTCCTTCCGCGTCTTACTGTTGGAAGGCAACATTCGAAGTATATCAAGCAAAAGGGAATAAGGTATTTTGTGCCTTTTGTTGATCAGGCGACACCCGGATTTTTGAACTGGGGAAAAAGGGAATTTGCAGTCCCCCGCCCTTACCCGGCTTCGGCCAATGCGAACAAGGCGACACAAAATAGACGAAAATACCCCTCCTTTTCTTTTTTTTTTTTTTGTACTGTATCTTGAATCCCATTTTCGTAATTCCCTTTCCTAAAATTCCTAAAAAAAGAAATCTTACTTTTCTTTTTTGATTGGATTATTTTTCGATCTCATTTTGTATAGTATCTTCAAACTACACACTATCTAAATTTCTTTCCCATTTTATATTGTCTAGTAAATGATAAAGTGAATTTTCAGTCACAAAAGCCACAAAATTGGAACATTAACTATTTGCCTTTGAAAATTCATGAACCTTCTGATTTGAAT